GGCCATCAGGCCGCTGAGGGCGCCCTGCGCGCTCGGTCTTGTCCGCCGGTCTGGATTCTGAAAAGAACACGTTCTTTTCAGCGTTCCCCAGTCGGCGGGGCCGCCCTCTGGATTCCGAGGCCCGTGTGTCCTTGTGGCATCACGTTTGCTTAAACCGCTTTGTTGGCAACAGCGTAGAAAGCTGGTGTTCTTAAGCAGGGAACCTCGGCAGCGCGTGGTTTAGAAACGCTCGTTTCACAGACGCGCGCTCCCGCCCGCGCCCGTGGGAAAAGCCCCCCCGACCACAGCCACAGAGCTCAGTGAGTGGTAGGGAGCCCGGCTCTGCTGAAGGGATCGCCGCGAAAACTCCGAACACCCACCTCACAAAGAAACCTTGCGTGAACGCACCTGCACCGCGACTTCCCAGCTGTTCCTGGAAAAGTGGTTTTGAGCAGTTGCTGGCCTAGCGGCCCCCGCGAGCCACACACAGCCCGCCAGCGGCAGGAGCCAGGCGGCGCACGGGGCCGTCGGCCCAGGAAGGCGCCGTCCCAAGTCACGGAGTGTCCTGGTTCATTCAAGTACGCGTTCCGAGTTGCATTGAAGAACCGTTCGTCTCTGTGGCCTACGGTATTTTCAGCCGATCTCAAAATAAACTGGTTTTCTAAAAAACTCAAAACCTAGATGTCTAAAATTACACGGAGTCCTTGTCTGTTCTTTCTCCTCCTTCCACAGATGCAGTTGTTTCTTTGGGTTTTTTTCCAATACCTTCTGTGTTTTTCTTTCTGGTTTTTTGGTTTCCGTGAGGAATTTGCGTTCTGTCTAATCCAGCTTACCGCGAGACATAGGAAAGCTAGGGACAAGTACCTTTGGTGATCTTGGTCGAGTTTGAACCTTTGTTCTGAAACTCAGCGAGCCACTATCTGCAATTTCGTACATGATCTAGTATTTTGAAGGTATGGAACCTTATGGGGAAAAAAAATAGTTAATTAGTTCTTTTTTCCCCCAGAGGGGAAAGTTACGTTCTGCAAATAGCCTGTGTCTTATTTTACTGTTGAACAGCAATTGCTATTTATTTTTTTATTGCCTAGAACTTCTACACGTTGTATAGGAACCCCGTAGTGCCGCTAGATAAATTCCAAACTCTCGTCTGGGTGTTACCACGAGGCATCAGTACACTTGTCATTTCACATGGAGTTAATGTGACCGTTTTTCAGTACTGTATGTGTTAATTTCTACTTTTTTTAATATTTAAAATTGCTTTTAAATAAACATATTCTCAGTTGATCCCAAACATCGGAAATCAAGCCATTTTGTGAGTCGTCCACTCTGTTCCATTCGGAGAGAATCAGGGCTCTTGCTTGGCTGTGCCTTGGGGCGGCGGGTGGGTGGGTCGATAACACGGCCATTCCAGCTCCCGTGTCAAAGCTTTGGAGACAGAAAGATGTCCATCACTTTCCTGGGCTTACAAAACAAGTCCTCTGCATTTTGCCCGCCCCCACCCCCATTCCCACTCCCACCTCCATGCACCCACTTCTCCTTTTTATGTGAAGAGGGGAGAGCCCTGCCCCCC